GCTTCAGTTTACCATGCCACACCCTTTATCAGTCATCTCATTCAAGCACGGTTGAATTAACTTGTTAATGGACTCCAGGCAGCACAGTGGTGCTGCGCCGTCAGCTGGCCTTTCTGTGTGCAGTTTGGATTGTTCCGGCTTCCTCCCACAGTCCACAGACCATGCTTGGCGATTCAAAATTGGCTGTTGATGTAAGAGTGTGTGGTTGTCTGTCTCTCTGTGTTAGCTCCCTGATGGACTGGCGACCTGTCCAGGGTGTGACCTGCCTTGGGCCCTATGATAGCTGGGATAATATTCATGATCCCAACTTGGATAAGCGGTTAAGAAAATGGACGGATGGAGATAACCGATTAACTTCCACCTTCCACTCTCAGTGCAAAGTTTTTATCTTTTCTCAGCTAGCTTGCTGTGTTGTTGTTGTTTTTAAAATTTATGAGTGTATAACCTAATTATGAAGGTCTTGGAAATCAGGACTCGATTTAAAGTCCTTCTTACATTTGCCAAGGAGGTTATGTGACTGGCCCGGCTTGTTTGTTTGTAAACAGGATCACTTAAAAAGTTGCACATGGATTGGCATGAAAACTTTTTGGCAGAGATGAGGCTTAGCCCAACTCACAAGTGATTAAAGTTTGGAGTCAATCCTGATCTAGAGCTGGGACTTTTTGGAACAGTTTCGACATGTTATGTCACAAATAAACGTGAAACGTGAAATCATAGCCTTCTGGATCTTGGACCTGTGGATGGAATTTTCAATCTTGATGGTCGTATTGAGTCCAACCAACAGTCCATTTTCCTCTCTTTATCTTATTCAGATTCACAATGGTTGGAGCCTATCCAGTAGTTATAGCGTGAAAGGACCTGGACAGGCAGCCAGTGTATTGCCCAATTAATGCTTTTTTTGTTTGCTCATACTGGAGATTTTGGCCATCTCGAGTTTTTGCCTCTCGAAATGAGCCTTGACATCTTGATCTGTGAGAAAAACATTTCAAATTGTTAGATCAGCTATAAAAGTCACCATAGATCTATTCATAAAGTAATGGTGCCACCTGAACTCATTCAAAATGCTCTGACATGTGATTTTCCTTTCATCTTCAGAGTAACACTGTTTTAAAAGAAAATAAGCACATTCAGTCAGAGTGTTTTACTGGGACTGTCAAACCAATTAAAACCCAGCCTTTTATTATTATTCACCTGTTCTCACATTCACTGCAAAATTGCTGCACTGTGCATTAGGCTCACAAATATTGCTGTCAATCAGCACATACAGTTGCTTAAGAGAGTTACATAACACAGACCTGAAGGTGTAAATGAAAAGCCTGGACTGAGAGCCGATGCACTGTAACCGCAAGATCTGTTTTCTGAGCTCTAAGTTGAATAAAAACACAAAATAAATGTCATTTGTGTCGATTTTTGTTTCCTGCTGCAAAGTGTTGTGGAAAACTCAAAAGTCTAATAATATTCAGTATGCAGTGTTTTCTGCGAGGCCCGTGCAGTTGACGTCTCATGAGATAGCACTGATTCAATTAGATATTTTTTTCATTTTGTGTCAACAGCAATCAGTTCAAGTCTAAAGTGAGAGCAGAGCAGATTGTT